TTAAAATATTGAAACAACGGGAAAAATGTGAAACTCACTACTGCACTTCTGGATGCACTCGTACTGTACAAGTTTTGTAGAATTTCGTGCATGTTGTTACATTCGTCTCACTCGTTGTTACATTCGAGGCAGTCACGAAGATTTTAAATTCAATTCTCATCATAAACGCGTCGCGCTAAATGCTCTGCAACCAGCGGCCATTAACGGCCGTAAATTCCAAAGTCGCCTTAAATCAATGTGAGAAAAGAAATGCTCTGAAAAAACCATGCTTTCCGCGACGGCGAAAGAAAAGCAATATTTCCTTTTACTCGGTGAAAGCAAAGAAGAGAATGTTCCACGGCGTTGAAAAAAATTTCCGGGAAAAGCTTTTGAACGTTAGGCATTCCTTTTAATTTAATTAAACACGTCGCATTAAAAATTCTAACGGCACCGCCGAGGAAAGTTCCGTAGCGAGAACCTGTCACGCGCAGACCTGCTGAAAAATCAAAGGTTCAGCTTTCACCTTTCACCATCAGGATAAATAAATTTTCCATTTTCTTTCCAGAAGAAAGAAACGCAGATAAAATATTCCACTCGATTCTGATTCGTTTGATTATTATAGCACACTCGCCGTATCAAACTCTCGCCGTCACGAGATCGTCGATCCTGTCGATCACACGCGATGATGACGAAATGATGGAAAGTCGGCGTGAAAGTAACACTTTCCAGCTGATGCGCTGCGAAATCGATGAATATCTATACATTTCCTCGCTATCCCGTGCTACGGGCGGAAATTTCTAATTTCGCGCCGTGTGTTCCGTGAATGGTGCATGATTAATCGAGTAACTGGCCTTTGCCTGGCTACGTATGCACGCAGCTGTAGCCATCGGCAGAGACGAAATAAATAAAACAAATAAAAACGCTGCGTTGGATTTATGCCTGGTGGCTCTTTGCGAACGCTGTCGATCATTTCACGACGGCTTTTTATTAGCCGTCGACAGCTCGTAAACGCCACCGGATCGAGAAATCGTAAAAGATAGTAGCCCGGAGCAAAGTAAATCAAACGGTCCGATAAAGAGAGAGAGAGAGAGAGAGAGAGAGAG